GGTTCATGATTATGTGGGTAATGCCAGCTTGCACGATATGCTTCACTTTGCTGACGAGAGGAGCAGGATGATGACGTGGAACGTGCGGGTCAGGGTGGCACTCGGGACTGCTCGAGCTTTGGAGTAAGTTGAGCGGAATGAGTTTTAAATGTGTAAACAAAACCATAGAACATATTCATTTCTCCGCATTTATTTGAAACCTTTTTCTTTTTTGTTTTAGGTACTTGCATGAAGTGTGTTTGCCTTCAGTTGTACATAGAAATTTGAAGTCGGCCAACATTTTACTGGATGAAGAGCTCAATCCTCACCTTTCAGATTGTGGATTAGCTGCTATGGCACCAAACACAGAACGACAGGTAAATAAATTTGAGGGAGGTGCAAATTCCGTACATCAGGTTTAAGGGTGATTATTATTACCATCCTTGAGTTTAGCCTGTTTACAGATCACCACAAAAATCTATCACAATTGTAAATACCCATGAAACATGTCCCTACATTGAGGGGTATAGTTTGTAAAACAATTATGGATTCCCAAGGGGTTATTTTGAAATGCCTCTAGGGTCCATTCTTTCTTCAAAAGATCTCTGGATTCATCAGTAATTACGACAAATTTTCTTTGGCCACTTTTCATGGAGATGTATACCAGTATTACATTTAGTTTTGAATGGGAATATGAGCTTCGTACAATTCTATTGTTATAGAGGTAAAGAAAGACATATTTGGGAGCTTAAATTTCAAACGGTGTTTGGCTAAACTGTATGCATCCCAGTTGTTTGATCCCTGTCAAACATCAAGGTCGATAAAAAATTTCCTGATAATGATGGCAGGTATCGTCCACCCAGATGATAGGCTCATTTGGTTACAGTGCACCTGAATTTGCCTTGTCCGGAATATATACTGTCAAAAGCGATGTATACAGCTTTGGTGTAGTCATGCTCGAGCTTCTAACCGGAAGGAAACCTCTTGATAGGTAGCTAACTCATTTCACATGGTCCGGAGACCACAAATATACATATGAATTTTTTCACATTTTTCCCCTTTTTTTCCCGTGTTAAAAAAATTACGCCCACCTTGTCCAGTTCAAGAGTGAGATCAGAACAGTCGCTCGTGAGATGGGCAGCTCCTCAGCTTCATGATATAGATGCTTTATCGAAGATGGTGGACCCCAACTTAAATGGCATGTACCCTGCAAAGTCGTTGAGCCGATTTGCTGACATCATTGCTCTTTGTGTCCAGGTAAATTTCTTCATAAACAATTTTTATTACACATTAGGAGTTTCTGCAGAAAGACCAGTTATTTCTCAAAATTCCAAGCACCCTCTTCCAATTTGTTTCTTTGAAGCGATACAGTTTAGGCATTTTTTTATTTTTTTTTTGCAATGCAGCCCGAACCCGAATTTCGGCCCCCCATGTCTGAGGTAGCACAAGCGCTTGTCCGGTTGATGCAAAGGGCAAGCATCTTGAAAAAACAGTCGAGTGATGGATCTGGTTTTGTGCTTCGAACTCCCGACCCTGAACCAAGTGACATGTTATGACACTACATGTATTGTTTTACACATACGCCTTTGCCATTTTTGGAACAATTGCGCAAAGATTGAAGGTAATGATGGCCTAAAGGGGCAACAGATCTCCAAAATTGGTAAAATGGGATATGCTGTTGGGGAGTGGCAATTGTTCACTTTATCTTTTCATCATTTATAAATTATAACAAGTTATAACATGAAAATGAAGATAAGTTTCTTGTATTTGTTCCAAGTTATTTATAAGCACCTGACCACAAAAGCAATAATCTGTGCATCATACTCAGTTGAAAAATGACAGAAAATCTGAATTAGTTTCTCAATAATCTTCGCTTTCAACAGTCGCAACAGGAAAGCTAATCGAACGACCAATTCAATCTCTTCATGAAACGCAACAATACACGAATTTTTGCATTCACAAACCTCCAAATCACTTGATGTCTAATTTTTTTTTATAAACAGTCGCTAGTCTAAACGGACCAACACTTCAATCCCCTGCCTCTGTACAACAGCCCAATACACTTCCAGTACACATTCTGCAATCCTAAAAAGCGGGTGGATCAAATTACTTCTTTCGGCGCTTGTGGGTTGCCTGCAAGATGATGAAAATTGAAAACGAGCAATGAATCGTTGCACATGACAAAATATGGGAAGAGCTAAGTAAAACTGGATGTAGCAAAATGACGAAGCTAGCCTTACTCTGCCACTTGAGAGTGGGTTTTCATGGGGATTCTTTGTTTCCTCGTCAGATCCATGTTCGGAGCAAACAAAATGGTCCAACTGTTTTGCTTGCTCTATGGTCAAATCCACACAAGCAGGATGATACCTACAAAAACCACAAGTGAAGTATTAAGGCCATTAATCGTAATTATAAGTAAAACTAAAGCCAATAATCAAATGGAGAGGGATATGGCCAGCGAAAGTAACTTCTCGAATTATGTATTTGTATGTATCACTCATGGTTTTTAATATACTGCTTTGTTTTGTTTTTCACATTCAACCTACCACAAGGAGCTCCCCACTTATCAGAGCTTAGTTTAAGAAGCATGAACAAAGAAGCTTAATGGCCCCGTTTAAGAAGCATGAACAAAGAAGCTTAATGGCCCCAGATGTAGAAACATTAACGACTTAAAAATGTTCGATTACTTTCGGAAATCCAAAATCAAATAACCACTCAAGTGTCTTCAATTGCAGAAGCCTAAATTCTCCCGACCAAGAAAAATAAGTTGCTTGTGCATGATCTGGAGATAAAAGAATCTGCCAATAAATTTATACAGAGGGAAAAATAAAAAATAAAAAATCAAAAGCCATACTGTGTTCACACTCTTAGGCAACCTCAATATCCATTACCTCCATGTCAATGACTACAACATGCAGGATCATCTTCTCACATTTTAGAAACATAAGATACAAAAATATAAATGAAATCTGATAAACAGAATCCTTTCAGTTTCACTTACCAGTCTTTGCATTCTTCACACTGAATCATCAGATCATCTGGATTATAAGGCATTTCACATTTGCAGTACCTACCAAATCACAGTAAACATCAGTTACTATTGCCTGAACACAAATGTAAAAGCGCACACAAGAAAATTAACGCCAATAGAACACTCACACCGCCACTCGATCCGGAAGGAAGTTTCCAGAAGCAGGTTTGTACTCAAAACGGCAGTAGTAATCATCGGGACCCACATTCTCCAGCTTTGTATAATTTTTGAACGAGTGCACGATGCACTTTCCCTCAATGGTGTGGGCACTCTGAATGTCATAGTGATCGGACAAGAACAATTCCTTAGCTCCATGGAACTGTCTCCTTCCTCCGGCAGCCTCCTCTGGCCTATAGTACCATCTCACCCGAGCTTTCACACTGTTACGGTTATCAGTCTCGATTTTCTCGATACGCGCCACATAAGGGGCTGAGTCATGTTCAGATGGTCTCATCAAGACACAATCCCCAGCTTCAATCAATCCAGACAAACCCAATTAGCAAACAGAACTCAATCAATACTTGCCCTTACATAGCTAATAAAGAAAAATCATCCACCTCATAGGACTAGTAAAGACTCATGACCCGTCTCAGTTCTCACAAAATTCAGATTAAAAAAAAATGACAAACAAGTAATTTGCACTATTCTCTTCAACAAGAAAGATTGGTGGGATGAAAAAAAAACATACATCATTTGCAGGCCTCTCACATAAAGCCGACTTTCTGAAATCTCCCATGTCATGAGAGAACAACATCAATCTATACAGAGCAGCTCTTTTTTAACAACCCGAGTTCCCGAATCATTTCTACTAATCATTTCTATCAATAACCCACATTTTATCACAAAAGAAAAATGAGAGAATAAAAGAAAAGAAAAATGTATACTTTAGCACATAAGGAACATGCATGCACACACTACGAGCTCTCCCTGTGCATTGTCATCAAAGCAAGCAAGCAAGCAAGTCAGCGAAACCCATTTTCGCTGCTCAAATCTCAACAAAACAGCTTCAGATTCACTTCAATGAGGGCAACAAACAACTGATTCATAAAAGAAAAATTGTTTACCTCGAACAACTTTGTTGGTTCCTCTGATGGTGTAAGAATCAACGTCCCTTGTACCTGGGCCATGCCTCGTTTTCGCCATGGACGATCGAACGAAACCAGAATGTGCTCGAGCAATGGCAAGAAAAAAATATATACTTTTCCAGAAATAAATGTTCCGCAAAAAAATGGTTCACAAATTTTCGCTTCAAATGAAAAGAAAAAACGCAGAAATTTGAGGGCTATCTTTGAGGGTGATTTGAGATGCCGGCCATGGATCTGCAAACCCTAGGATTTTGGGGCAGATTTTCGCGAAGGGACAAACCCTAGAGCTGCTCCGTTTTTACTCATTTTTGGACTATACGCTGGCTGGGTGGCTGGCGAGCTATTTATGTGGAATTTAGCCGCGTTTTTATTGAATATGAAAATTAAATATTTCACAAATTATTTTACAATAGTATGGTTAGGGAAATTCCACGGTCCCGATGGAATAGTTCAGTAAAGGAAACGTAACATCTTTAAGTATGGTCAACCCGTCATATTTTTTTTTTTTGATAAAAGTATATATTCATTCATTTTATATAAAATGTCATTACATACTAAATGTAGTAATTCAATTATAATTACATACTAAAGGTAGTAATTCAATCCTAAGTATATATATATAATTGTTGAAAAATATACATATTTAATTGTTAATTTGACTAATAACAACTCTTTTATTTTTCTAAACTCAATGGTTTTTCTTACATTTATCATTTTTTTTTTTCAAAGCTTCTCTTTTTGCTTAAATATACAAAATGATATTATGTAATCTTATAATTTAATTATGTTAATGATATTCAATGTATGCTCAAACTGTATTGATAAATGAAGTCAACTCTGCTCAGACGAGTTCTGATTTACCTTTGTTATTTAGTTTTCTTAGACGTCAAAAGTGATTTAATATTTTCCACTAAAAATGTATATAATTACAACTCACTATAATGTAATTCAATGAATTTAAGTAAATTGGAGCTTTGACACCCCTTTTTATTAATAAAAAGGATTTCCTCAATTTTTATTTTTATTTTTTTCATTTGTGATTCTTAAGATATTGCTCAAACTTTATTTATCAACTACTTTAGTTATAGCTACATTATCGATTTTTTATCAACTTAAACAAAATGAAAACAATCAAAGAGAATATTTAACATATTTCACACAACACCTTATAAGTTCAAGATCAGTCTTGTTCACTAGGGTCTCCTCTCAGATCTGGAGTGAACCGATGAAAAACCGTCCAGATCTGGAATGAACCGATGGGAATGGGCTCAGATCTGACTCGATAGCCTCCAAACCGTTGCTAAACCGTGAGAACACCTGCAAGAACTCAACGCCGGAGGGGTTTCCGGCGTAGAGCCTCCGACGCTCAAGTCAGTATGTGAAAGAGATGAAGAGAGCTGCTCTGAGAGAGCAGCAGCAGTAATGGAGAAGAATGTAGAATGAATGGGAGTTAGGGTTTTGGAGTTACCTTAACTCCTTTATATAGAAGTAAAACCTTTACCTGGAATCTCCAAATTGCCCTGGCCGACTTACTGGAAATGTCCAAAATACCCCGGTCGGTTCGCATTTCGTCTATATCCTAGTCAGCATTTAGATTCCTTCTTATCATTTAATAGCTTCCCTCTGATATGTTGAAATGTATAGGAGTCGTCAGGGATCCATGAGCCCCAAGATTATTTCAGTCGACTCGAGATATCCACTCGAGCCGACTGGGTCATTTCCCAATCGCTGGTAGACCCCAATGTACTTATTCATCCTTCCGGACGGAATCGACTTAGGCTAGTCGACATGGCAGAAGTCGACTAAGAAAAGCATCCGGACCCTTGACAGAATATATTATCACGAGGAGATATGTGGGTGGAGTCGACTTCGGGTAAGTCGACTTGGCAATGTTCGAACCGAGACAACATAGGCCGCTATGCGATAGTATGGCTATATCACTAGGTTCACAAATCACAACTGTGCTAAGTTCACGACTATATTATAATTAGTCGGAGCCCGAAAGTCAGGTGTTTCGTCCATTTAGATGATTACATCTAAATGTTGAAAATTTAGTCCTTAGAAATGAAATTTGGTCCCTAGAAATTCAATCTCAGTATAATTCATTTGTGATTGAGGATGGTTAATGCATATTATGCATAAAAAATTCACAAAAATGAGGAAGAAGATGAAAGATTACAACACCTTGACTAATTGCATGAAATCAGTACACTGGTTGTTAGCAAGCTCCTTTCTGGGCCCACCGGTTTTAAGGGGAATAAAATTACTTTTCTCTACACTTTGATTTTTTATTTTTATTTTTTGTTTTCATTTGAATAAGTTCATTCAATAAAATGGGAAACTAATGAGTAGAAGCTTTTTATAACACAAGTCAATTTTAAATAAAAACTATTTTTTCTTGGGAAAATGATAATACATATATATAACAATTCAATCGAGCATTTGGGCCGAAAAGTGAAGTTGTGAAAAATTCTTAATACACATGTTAATATGTCCATCGCTTATGTGTCATGCACACATTGATGCCACATAAGCGGTGAACATATTAACATGTGTCCACCGTGTGTAAGTGAACATTATTGATATTACAATGTGATAGTTCCTATAACATGAAAAATCTCATGGAAATTGAAATGAAATTTCTACAACCCCTGTATATATTAATTCATAACATTTTGAAATGGTAGACTCGCATGTTTCAAGATCTTACATGACAAAATTACATTATTCGTTATTGGGCTTGCGTAGATTTTAATTTACTTACAATGCAAAAATAATTAGGTCCGGATATCTATAAATATGTTGATTATTTATGGTCATATTACATGTATTAATTGCATTTTATTATTTTTTTATTATAATCATCGAATTTTAAAAGTTAATAATTTTTATATTTTTTATCCGTTATATATATAATATATCAAATTAATTATTTTTTGATGAATTTCGATTTAACATTCATATTGTATGCATAAAAAATTAATCAATTGAGTTTTTCAATACAAGACTTGAAAGATGGGTAAACTATCAAAGTGAGACATGAAAGATTTTTGTTTCTCAATTCGAGACTTAAATGTGTTATAAAACTATCAAATTAAGTTATAAAATTAATAAAACCATAACACCATTAAATTAACAGGTACCCGTGTAATACAATGTACTCGTAAATAATTAAATCGAATCATGGTTTCACCTTTATTCAGAGGGGCAACTTTGTACTTTTTTGTGGCTAGAAAAAATAATGGGGACAAATTCCAGTATTTCATAATAAGGTCAGCAGCAAGAAGAACCCAAAAGAAAGAAAGAAAGCAAGAGAGATTCAAAAATGGCGACCTCGAAGCTGCAAGCTCTATGGAATCATCCCGCTGGCCCTAAAACCAGTATTAATTATTTAATTTCTTACATCCCTTTTTCTCGAATTTGATTAAAATTTCCCTGATCTGGCTTCTCGTTTATTTGATTTAGATTTTGGTGTTCCAAAAAAATTGCATCTTTATTGTGTGTGTGTGTGTGTGTATGTGTTTCTGGTATTGGGTTTCGCTTGAAAGCTTAAAACTTTTCATATTCCTAAGCTGTAGATCAGAAATTGGTTACCTGTTGATTTAAAAGGGTGAATTTCACCCTCAAGGGGGTTTTAAACACACACCCGCACGGGTGTGTGTGTTGGTCGGATGGTTAAAAGTTGAAGCCTCTATAGGGGCAGTGGCCACCGGTGTAGGGTACGAATTTTGCCGATTTATGGCAGATATTGAAATATGTAAAGATAGAGATGGTGGTT